GAAACATATATATACATAGACAGACAGACAGACAGACAGACAGACAGACACACACACACACACACACACACACACACACATTTATGAATATCCAAGGGAGAGCTGGTAGCTTTCATTTAACATATTCAGGTGGATCCTTTCAACCAAAATGCAAATCTGCAATGTATTCTAATGTAACTCAATTAGAGCTACTAACACCATCTGTATATACATTTTCAGTTCAGCTATCAAAAAACACACAAAGACACACAAGTAACATAATATTTAATAGTTGTGTGATATCTCATTGTACCATACTTCATTTAACCTTCTTATTTTTAAATGGGTCAATTTTCATTTTCTTCCTTTTATAATTAATATTTTATTATTTTATTTTTTTGGCAGCTGGCCAGCATGCAGAACCAAACCTGACCTTGGTGTTACCAGCACCATGCTCTAACCAACTGAGCAAACTGGCCAGCCCTATAATTAAAATTTTAGTACATATTTTATTATGTAAGTCTTGGCCCACATCTCTGATGTTTTTCTTAGGATATGTTCCTAGAGGTGGGATTACTACAGCAAAGTATGTAAATTTTTCAACTAAAAGTTTTTAAGTAAAAATAAATAGGATAGTATTTAAAAAGTCAAATAGTACAAAACTTCTAGTAAAACCATCTAGCACTCTCCAAACACTCTGTCTTTAGCTATTCCTTCTACTATTTGCCTTCAAATATTGTCCTTTCTTGATTTTTAAATTTTAGACATTATCTATTGATCCTACATGAAAAGAATACTTAGATCTCCCACATGACCAGAGACACACTTTTTTCTACCCTTCTCTCATTCAATTACTCTTTTGCTTAAATCAATATTCAGTATTTATATTTTTATGCTATATAAACATTATTCTCTAAGCCATGTGGCATATTTCCTTTCTTATACATTTAAAATTTTTTTTACCATGGCTAATAAGTGCCTCATTTTATTGCATACATTTAGTGTGGATGGTTTATAACACAGCTGCCATGGAGAGGTGAGGTCTATGATACCTCCCCTTCATTCTGGGTGGGACTGTGCTTTGATAGGAGACCAAGGAAATGACACTGTGACTTCTGAAGCTGGTCATAATGGAGGATGCAGCTTTTGCCTTGCTTGGTGGAACACTAGTGTTTCGAGTTCTGTGAAGTCTGATTATTCTCAGCTACCAAGCTGTGAGGAGGCCAAGCCAAATGGAGGGGGTCTTATGTGAGCACTCTTGTTGGTCAGCAGCCTAGGCTTCTAGGCATCTCAGCCTGGGTTCCAGGTGTGAGTGAAGGAGCCTCCAGACTATTCCAGTTCCCAGCATCGTTAAGTCACCTCCAGCCTCTGGGTTTTTCCAGTTGAGGTTCCAGACATCATGGAGCAAAGACAAGGCATCCCTACTGTGCCCTGTCCAAATTCCTGACCCACAGAATCCATGAACATAATAAAATGTTTATTTTAAGCAGCTGAGTTTTGGGATAATTTGTTATGCAGCAATAGTAACTGAAACGTTTAGTTTCCTATGTATCTATAATTTATTTTCATTGTTTTTGCAACTGGCCAGTACAGGGATCAAAACCTGGATGTTGGTGTTATCAACACAATGCTCTAACCAAGTGAGCTAACTGGCCAGCTCTATGTACCTATAATTAATTAATTTGTTCCTAAATTCTCAATCTGGTCAGTCATATTAGATGACTTATCATTCAATTTTTTTCCTTAGAGATATTTCTCCTGGAGATATCTGTCTTCTTGTTCCAGTGTGGCCTGGATGCACAGTCATCAGCCTAGAACTTGCTAGGATGACAGACAGTAGAGCATGTCACTTAAGGATGTGGACCCTGTAACTGGACTGCTCAGGTTTGAATCCTGGCTTCACCACTTCCTACTTCTGTGACTGTACACAAGTTAGTTAATCTCTCTGTGCCTCAGAATTCTCATTAGAGTGGTGCTTGGCACACAGTAAATGCTATTGTTGTTGGCATTATTACTGTTGTTGTTATTCTCCCCTTCACATTGTCCTGGGAATTCCTATTGCCTCTTGCCCATGTCTAATCCTCTCATTCCTAGATTCCATGTCTTTCTCTTTCTTGGCTACTTCCTAGTCTTGATGGAATACATCACCAACTCCCTGAAAAAAAGGTGCTTGAAAGGTAAGTTTTTTGAGACTTTGTATATCTATTTTAAATTGTCTTTAATATCACAATTGATGATGATATGGCTGGCATAAAATTCTAAACTGGAAACAATTTTGAATTTTGAGAGTATTATTCCATTGTCTTGAAGCTTTCAGTGTCACTACTGAGACACCATCTGATTCTTGATCTTTTGTACAAAGGTTTTCTTTTTCTTCCTGGAAGTGTTAGGGTCTCTTCTTCATCCTCATTGTTTTAAAATTTGATAATGATATGATTTGATGTGGATCTTTTAAAATTCATTATTTAGGGCACCATTTCAATTTGGGAACTGAGGTCCATCAGTTCTCAGAATGCTTCTCTTTTAAAATTTCTTTGTTAATTTCCTCACCACTGTTTTCAGTTTTCTCTTTCTGGGACTCTTAATAGATGTTAGATTTCCTGAAAGAGTTCCCCTAGTTTTCTTATCTTTTCTCTTCTATTTTCTATTGTCTTTTTGTTCGATTTTCTGGGAAATTTTCTCATTTGTATCTTCCATTCTTGTTTTGATTTAAAGAAAAATTTCTGCAACCATATTTTTATATTTTATAATTCTGATTTCTTGTTCTTGGATTGTCCTTTTTTATACATCTGTTCTTATTTCATAAATTCAATATTTTATCTTGTTGAATACACTGCTTGTAGTGCTTCTAAAAACATCTTTCTTTCCTTGCACTGTCTCTGTTTCCTCTAAGTTCCCTTGTAGTCAGTTTGTTTTTGACTTGTTTTTTCATGGCGGAGGTTTTTCTCAAATGCCCAGTGGTCCACTGTTAACTGCTTTGCTTCAGAGTGAGGTAGTTGGATATTCTGTGCACTTGGACATTCTCAGTCTTGTCAAGGGCTGAGTGTTACTGTAGGAGGACTTCTCATGGATGTGACATGTTTACTGAGGGGGCCCCAAACATCCATATCTGCAGGTCTTTTCTCCTGGGTTTGACAGTTTCTTCAGAAAGGAATCCTTCAGTTTTCTACCTGGTGGATAGGAGGGATTTTAAGCTGGCTGCCAGCATTTTGAGAGCCAATAAGGAAGAGGGTTAGGAGAAGGGGAATTATCTTTTGGAATGCAGATATCTGCTGGAAGTATGGTGGCTGGCTATCTCCAGCCTCAGCTGTGCCTGGTTTCTTATGTCTACAGCCGCAGATTAACCCAAACAATTACAACCATGAAGTTAAATGACTTCCATGAGGCTTTGGATAAAAAGGTAAGAATTTTTTGCATCAGGGTTTCTGAGTGAAAAGAAAACCAAAAAAGTTCCCTCTCATCTGCTACCCCCAACCCCCACGCCCAAAAGATGGGACATTTACCCAATTCAAGTCCCTGTACCCTTTCCACTTCACCATGCTTTTTTTTTCTTTCTTTGATAATGCCTCGAATGAGTATTCATTCAGGGTCCAAGTTTGTTTTAAAATAACCCAATGAGCTGACAGACGGAGCTCCTGGAACTCTGCAGCTTGTGCTAGAGTCCACAGATGGGAAATTGCCGTCAGTTAAAGGGTGGTACTATTACCATAGCCCAATTTTTGAAAGCCTTCAGGAAAAAAAAAATCATCTGAGTTAATTAGCATTCACCACAGGCACTAGTTTTGTGTTACAGTATTCTAAGAACTCAGATAGAAAGAAAACACAATAGTATAGTCTCTAAATTTTAAATAATATTTTACCTCTTAAAAATGTAGATTATAAAGAAAGAATTTTACCTGTTATATGAACATAATCGTATATGGCTGATTCATATAGCCTTAAGTCACCACGAGATAGGAATTATGTTCTAAAATAAACTAACTACTAATGATACCTGAAATAGTAGTAATTTCATTTTACCTCTCCGATCTGCTTAATCCACAAATCTCTTCCGAGAAACTCCTGATGTAAGACTACAGGAGCTGAGTTTAGATTAAAAGTCATGGAGTCACCTGTCTTTTCTTTGATAAAAGGCTGGAGGTCCGAATTTATCTAGAAGGAGCAGTTAAAAGAGTTAAATCAGAGAAATGTATATACATTAGTATATTTTAGTCATATTTAGAAAGTACCACTTAATGCAGTGAAAAATGAAGCTTCAGGAATGCAGTTTTAAGATGTACTTCAATAAGCAAAAGAACATTTTGGATGATTAACAATAACCTTTAAAATTCTTTAGGATTATTTTTCCTTAACAAATTCCTTTTCTATTTCACAGCAGCCTTTATTTTACTTTTTAAGTTGAAGGGAAGAATTTAGATAAAGATTTAACAAATATAATTATTTAATAAAGTAATCTAAGATTTTATAAAATATGCAAAATACTCATCAGGAAATATTATATAGATATTATATTATGTGTATATATTTTCTTCCCTCATGAGTCACTTAATTAACATCTGAAAAATACATATTAAGTGAAATTTTAAAATTACATATATGTAAAAGCAACAACATAGAAGCTAATTTTGGGACACTTTATATTTCATATGCTTATTCAAAAGAATCAGTTATCAGAACTAAAGCTTTCAATTTTATTTAGTATATTTCTGAATTTCATTAACTTTCTATAATTTGTTTTACATAAGAAGCTATTAGGGAACTATAACAAAAATAACAAATATTCTTCCATTCTGTGAATGGCAATATTACATTTTATTTAATAATTTGCAAGAGTTCTTTCAAGAACCCTTTCAGGTGGTAAGAAAAGACAAACATCATAAATATGATTTTAAAAAGCTTTATAAAATTACACAGTATTTACCAATCATACTGCTTATATTACATAATAATCACCATCTATGACTGATAGACTTTAAGCACGCAATAAACATTTCTGGAGTTATAAAAGCAGCTTATTAAATGGCAAAAGGTTTCTTGTGTATCATTTTAGCTACTTAAGTACTAGAAAAAAATAAAGGGTGTGCAAATACCTTATGACTCATGGCCATGTGCTTCCCATACTGAAATGCCATATCCTGAACCTCAGCATCGTGCTTTGCTAATTCCATTGCAGCTTGGCAGCTCTTTGCTAGTAAGGCACCATGGGAGAGAAAAGCCTGCTCCTTCCAAGTTGATATTCCAATATCATCTGTGATATAGTTTTCCTAAAAATGCAACAAAAGCCAAGATAAAAAAGGCTTTAAGGGTAATTTAATTGTATCTGTTTTTGAAGAATAAAAGAATTAAGAAACGAACTATTCAAAACACTCAGGCTATTGAAACAAGATAGAACTAAAAGATGCTGAACCTAGCTCTACCTAAAAAGGATGGGGAGGTGGGTGGACTGCTTTTTTAGGGTAATGGGGAAAAAGTGAAAAAAATGTTAAAGTAAAATTATTTTTGTGCTAGGGAACTTCTATTAAAATACATTCTATAGGATAAGTCAAAAAATAGAAACTTAGACCTCCAAACTAACTCCCTTGTATATTCACATCAGTTCTTGAGTGTTGGTATTCCAAAACACAAGAAGCCTATTGCATATAACTTATGTAAAAATATCAAGGGCATAATAAAGAAACTGCATTCTCTTATAAGCAGCTAAAATGAAAAATTGGAGAGGAGGTAACTCATTGTAATGGTGAATGATTAGATTATAGTATTCATCAAGGTTTATTCACCTAAAAAACCGGCCATAGGGAGGATATAACTATAGCTTACTTAATTTCATCTTTTTAAATTGTGAAAATCATTGTAGTATCTGTAAATAAGTATACATGTACCTACAACGTCTAGACCAGTGTTATCTGATAGAAATATAATGTAAGGCACATGTACAATGTAAAATTTTCTAGTTGCCACATCCAAAAAAGTGAAAAGAAACAGGTACAGTTAATCTCAATGACATATTCTATCTATCCCAATATGCCCAAATATAACCATTTCAACATATAATCAATACAAAAATTATTAACGAGATTTTTTTTTTTTCCTTTTTTGTCTTTTTTCGTGTCCGGCAACAGATTGCAACCCACAGTGTCGCGCCCGTACCGGACCGGGACCGGCAATGGGATCGCAACCCTCGGTGCTGCGCCTGCACCTCGCTCAGCGGTGAGCAGGAACCGGTCTGTATGTGGGATCTGAACCCTCGGTGGGAGCGCCGCTGCACTCCCAAGCGGCGCACTGTAGCAGTGCGCCACGGGCCGGCCTTAACGAGATATTTTACATTCTTTGTTTATACTACATTTTAAAAATCAGCATGTATCTTAGGCTTACAAAATATCAGTAGCCACAATTCAGTGCCTAACATTGGACAGCTGGGCTCTAGATAGTGGGCCCTCTGAGGACACAAATGATGAAGCAAACATATAAAACAGTGTTCATTTTATGGTATTTCTTTTTTTTTTTTCCTTTTTGTCTTTTTTCGTGACCAGTAACGGGATCGCAACCCTTGGTGTCACGCCCGCACCGCGCTCAACCAGTGAGCGGACAGGTCTCTATATGGGATCCGAACCCTCGGCGGGAACGCTTCTGCGCTCCCAAGTGCCGCACTCTACCGAGTGCGCCACCGGGCCAGCCCTATGGTATTTCTTTGACACTTCAAACTACCTAGAACCCATCCAGGATTCATTAACCCAAACACTTTTCTTCCTGCCCCCCATACCATAATCCTTCTCCTTTCACCATTATTTGAGGACAAAATTTAAAACATTAAGAAAACTTAAACAGGGACCATTAAAAGATCAGCTCAGTTTTAGCCCCACCTAAGGTCAGAGTCATAAAAGGTAATGTAATGACAGAAGGAGAGAGATTGCAAGATGCTATGCTGCTGGACTTGAAGATGGAGGGGGCTACGAACCAAGGAATAAAGGTAATAACTAGAAATGGCAAGGATTTTCACCTAGTGCCTCCAGAAGGAATGTAATCCTGCCAACATCTTAATTTTGTGGCTTTGGATCAATAATAATAATAAAAAAAAATTCCCGACCCCCTCAAAGTTTTACTCTTAGTGTTGGTAAGGCTGCAAAGAAACAGGCATCTCAAACATGGCCTGTTGGAAGTGGAAACTGAAGGGAAATTTCTATCATCCAATATCTATCAGCTTGATAGGATATCAACTTCTATTATGCAATATCATCACAATACCTACCAAGATTACCAATGTATTTTCCTTGTGACCTAGGAATCCCACATCCAGGAATTAATTCTACAGATAAAACTATACAGATGTGAAATGAAATATGTACAAGGTTATAGTCTGTTGTTCACAAAGCTGCCAAGGTTGTGGCCAGTTAGCTCACTTGGTTAGTGTGTGGTGCTATAACACCATAGTTGAGGGTTCAGATATCCATAAAGGCCAGTCACCAACAAACAGATAAATAAAACACAAGCCAGGACCACAGTGGCCGCTGGGCTGTTTCTCAGACACTCCAGACATCTCCTCTTTCATGCCTCTGTACTTGCTGTTCTCTCTGTCAGACACTCTCCCTGGATATTTGCATGGCGAGATTCCTAACTGCTTTTGGGTCTCTGCTAAAAATTCAACTTATCCTTAGTAGTCCGCCTTCTTCCCTCATCATTTCCTGTCTCCTTACACTACTTTAAACATTTTTTTCTTGATACTACTAGAGCCCTCATATATTTATTTGTATAATGGTTCACTGTTTATCTCCTTTACTAGAATATAAGTTCCATGAAAGCAAGGACTTTCTCTGTTTTGTCCTCTGCTGAATCATCAATATAGTGCATTAGGTGTGCAGTAAATATTTGCTGAAGCTTTTACCTTTCTTGTGGTATCCTCCCTCTTTTCCACCTTCCTCTATCCTTCCTAATTTGGTCATAATAAAGAGCTGAAATAATTCTCCATTAATGCCTCTCTGCTGCCCATATAATCAAGATAAACTACAGCACAGCATTCCAGGCCCTCCTGTTCTTGGTACCAAGCAATACTTCTAGCCCCACTTGCTACCCAAAATATTCCCTTTGAGGCCTGTATTTCACCTACACAGGACAATGAGCTGTTTCTTGAATAAAAGATGTACTTTAACACTTGTGTGAATTTTAAAATATTGTTCCTTTGAAAGGAATACCATTTCCTCTCATTCCCTGTCCAGCAAATTGAACATATCTAGTTCAAATATCACTTTGAGGCACATTCTCAAATACTCCCACAAACATTTTTCCTCTTTATATGAATATTACCTTATTTATATTTCAACATAGCACTTACTTCTCTCAGAATTGTATGATTACTTATATATCTGTTTCCTTAAAGGCTAGACCTGGTCTTAGTCACCTTTATATTTTTTAATCACTTAGGCCATACTTAAGTTTCAACAAATGTTTGCTAAATGAATACAACTGTGTTTATCTGTTGCATTATTTAGTAGTTGTATGTTCTTTTTTTAAATTTTAAAAGAAAATGGGTAGATACATTCACATGATGGCATGCTATTCATCAATAAAAAGGAAGGAACTACTGATACATGCTATGCCATGGATGAACCTCAAAAACATTATGCTAACAGAAAGAAGCAGATGCAAGAGACCACATATTTTCTAAGATTCCATTTATATGAAATGTAGTAGATTAGTGGTTGCTGGGGCTGGGGGTGGAAACTGTAAATGGGCTTGAGGGACCTTATAGGGGTGGGCGTAAAAATGTTCTAAAACCGATTTATGGTGATGGTTGTGTCACTTGATAAAGTTACTAGAAATCATTAAATCGCATGTTTGAAATGGATGAATTTTATGATATATAAAATATACCTCCTTAAACTTGTCTTTTAAAAAAGCTAATAAGTATAATATTTTATATTTCTTGGTCTCAAATGCTTATATTAACATTAAAAAACTTATATGACTCTCAATTAACTTTCTGTAGTTTGAATATCATCCTCATTTATTCATACAACAAACATGCATTGAGGTACTATTATAGGTCAGGCTCTCTGCAAAGCAAAATAGATATGATTAGTAAGTAGCCTCTCCTCAAGAAGCTCACAGTCCACAGAATATATATATATATATATATATATATTAATATAAACATATCTATATCTAAAGATTATATAGGTCTATACCCATATCTTTATCTATATAGATAAAGAATAATAATTGTAGGATCTCCAATTATCAAAGATTCAGTTTTGTTCATTATATATTTCTTATTATGATTAAGACATTTTACTAATCATCATTTCTACATTTTAGATTATGCAAGTAATATGTGATCACTGAAAAAAAAAATTTGAAAATTCGAATAACCAAGAAACAACTTATGGTCCCCTGAAATCTACTACAATAACTTAATTGAACGATAAGTTTACAATTCTGTTCCTAAGTTAATCACAAAATTTATTCCCCGAACATTAAGTTATTACCTATTATGAACTTGGCTACTAAGAAAATAAAATCCCTTCACTTCCATCAACTTGCTATATATGTACTAAGAGAGCATGCTCTATGACAAAGGAAAAGTTAATGTACAATTGTAAAATACCAAACTGGTGTAATCAGCACATCTGAACTAGTGTCTTCAGACGTCAGATATATAGAACTGGTGTGAAAGGAATGAATGTAGTCAGAGTAAATAAATTTAGATATACTTACAGTACCAACTTACATATGTGCGGTTTATACTGAAGATTTATTATATATAAAAGAAGGATACATTCAATAAATATTTACTTTTGATGGGATTTCCTTTTTTCCAAAAAGATAATATATGTCAACATACTCATTGAATGACTGTCAGACAGAAGTACATTGATTTTAAAAAATGTAAGTCTCTCTTCTGGTCAAGACTGCGGAATAGACAGTCCCTAGTGTCACTCTCTCCCACAAATCAACCGATTTAAACTATAAAAACATAACATCAAGTGCATACAGAATGGGAAGACGTCCAGTGGGGGAGGCAGAAGCTCAGCAGAGACCACACACCCTGCGGTACCGCCCCATGATCCAGCAGCCCGGCAGAGTCCAAGCTGACCAGAGAGGTGGCTCCCCGGAGAGGCCCAAGACCCGAGGCAACCACACACGCAAGGCACTAGTGTCCAACTGAGTAGTCACTGAGGTAGCCATACCAAATTGGCAACCACATCAACATATTAGTCAGTCAATAGTGTCAAACTTGTGGACTGTGAAACCCCTTGCCACAATGAATAAA